CAAAAAGTTAATTTTGCCATAGGCGATAACGCTTACAATATGAAAAAGACAATAAAAAATATTTTGGAAATAAAGCATCACGGGTGTTATGCACGCACAATAAATTTAATAGTGAACGATGGACTAAAATTAATTAAAAGTGAAATTGATGTTGTTAAAAAAATAGTAAGTTACTTTAGAAGAAGTGTTACGGCTTCTGAAAAGCTTCAAAGAATCAACTACAAGCATACGGACAAACCAAAAAATTACTCCAAAACATTGATACATGATGGAATTCAACTTTTATATGGTTCGGCGATTTGTGGAACTAGAAGATGCAATTAAAATGACCATGAGTAATATTAGAAACACCAGTAACACCAGAAATGTGGAAAATGTTAAAACAATTATGCTTAATATTGAAACCATGTGAAAATATAACTAATTCTATAAATGGTGAGAACTATTGGGAAGCTTAGCGATCGTTCTAACAAGATGCTTGAATGAGACTTGCTCAAAAATCTTGCTTAGAAAAGGCTTGCTGTCTATTATTAGAAAATAACCGAAATACTTAAATCAAGCATAATGATAGATTTTCAAATGTTGAGAGGAGTGAAACATTTGGAATATCTACATTAATGGATCCAAGATTTAAGTTACAGGGATTTTCTAATATAAGGTTGACAAATACCTCCCTTCCGCCTTTGTATTATAAACCAAGAGCAAAAAGCGGAAGGGAGATATTTGACAACCCAATATACAAAATGCAAACTTTAGTAAGGGACACCTACAGCAAATTGTGGTAAATATCATCGAAAAAACAATAATGGCTGAGTGTGAGGTTTTATCAGAACCATCAATTGAGGACACCGATGAGTATAACCCATGGTTTATTCTAAGCAGTTTGGTAGGAACGTCATCACGTCAATCGACTCCTATGGGTGCAGCCATCAAAAGAGTTGGACATGTATCTGGCTGATGATGTACTGCCAATGAAATCAGCAGATGGCACATTCAACTGCCCAATAGAATGGTGGAGCAAACATAAGCATGTATATCCAAACCTAGCAAAGGTATTTGAAAGATACTGCAATATTATAGCCACTTCGGTTCCATGTGAACGAATGTTCTCTAAGGCAGGGATAATACTAACCGACAGAAGATCGAGACTGAAAAGCACGAAAGTAGAGAAATTATTATCTTTGAATGTAAATCAAGACCAAATCTAACATATATTTGAAACCATTATACTATATGAACTATATATAAAACTGTCAATTATAATTTAATACAAATACATTTGTTTAAAATTAACGTATGAAAATAATTCGTTTAATTTGCAAGACTTTACTCGAACTGCTATTTACATTAATTTTGATTTCAGGTTTTACACAAAGTGATGCATGCATGGTATATAAACTTGTTAGTTAATAACTTACATAAATAGTAAAATTTACGTTTTTAATTATTAATATTTTTAACATAATTTTTTTAAACCTTTCGTTTCAGATAAATGTCACCTCTGTTTCTTTGTGAACAAATGTTTTCAATGGTTAATGATTGATCATAAAATTTTCACAACATTTGCTTTGTAACAAAAAAAACAATTTTTCATTTTCCATAACATAGCTATTTTCAT